TAACACTTTATTCTTGTAACATTGCGACTATATTCTTGCAGTGTTACGACTTTATTCTCCCGATATTCCGACTTAATTCTCGCCATATTACGACTTTATTCTCGTAATGTTATGACATTATTGTCGTAATATTAACACTTTATTCTTGTAACATTGCGACTATATTCTTGCAGTGTTACGACTTTATTCTCCCGATATTCCGACTTAATTCTCGCCATATTACGACTTTATTCTCGTAATGTTATGACATTATTGTCGTAATATTAACACTTTATTCTCGTAACATTACAACTATATTCTCGCAATGTTACAACTTCATTCTTGCGATATTACGATTTTATTCTCGTAATGCTACGACTTCATTTTCGTAATGTTATGACATTATTGTCGTAATATTAACACTTGATTCTCGTAACATTACGACTATATTCTTGTAATGTTACGACTTTATTCTCAAAATTTTAAAAAATTAAAAATTCTCTAGCCTGGCCCTAATAGTCCATCATACTCCAGGTCAGAGTCATTCCAAAAAATCAATCCACTGGACTTTGTTTCCAAGTTCGAAGACGTTTCTCTTCTCATCCAGGAAACTATTTCAATAACATATTTCACTTTAAATATACTTCTGCCACCTGAATGGCTGCAGTAAATCAAATAAAATTGCGATTACGTTGTAAATGCAATTAATTGCCCAGCCCTCGCTAAAACGCACCAGCTTTAGTTTGTATGCAGATTTCTGCTGAATGTTTTTATAAATAATAAGATTTAGACGCGAACAGCAGCTGTGTGACGCAGAGCAGCAGCTTTTTTCATTTCATTTTTTATGTGTTTGAGTCTTTGAAGTTCTAGGAGGTTTCTAAGCTTTAATCCGATGTTCTGATCCAGCAGTTAGTCGGTTCTTTGTAGCCTGTAGGCAGAGGTGTCAAGTAACGAAGTACAAATACTTGGAGCACATACTTTTTCACTTTTACTTGAGTAAACAGGTCAAGTTGATACTTCAACTTTTACCAGAGTGTTTTTAAACTGCAGTATTTATACTTCTACTTAAGTAACTACTTAAGTAAATAACTTAAGTCGTTAAATGTTTTAACTTTATCTTCGTTTTCAGAGCAGCTTTTCTGTCCTTCTGTTGAAATAATTTTGTTTTCTAAGTCCTGAAGGTTCTGGGTTCGCTGATTAAAAGTTCTGGTTCTGTCCGGTTAGATCCATCCCACCAGCGGGCCAATGGCAACCTGAAGTACTTCGAGTACCAGCTGTCCAAACAGAGGAAGATGGAGGATGATGATGAGGAGCAGCGGAGATTAAAGAAGGAGAACCGGGGTCGCCGTGACGACTACCTGCCTGAGAGGAATCAGTACGAGAAGCTGTGCCGCGGCGAAGGCGTCCTGATGGTGAGCCGGCGGAACCGCGCTCTGTCCGGTCTGTGTGATGTCATCAATGTCCACAGCCAATCAGCTTCTGCTCTCCTCCTGTCAGACTCCTGGCAGGCAGAGCCGCCTCTTCTGCCGTTACTATGACAACGGACGGCACCCCAAGTTGGTGATCGGACCGGTGAAGCAGGAGGACGAGTGGGACAGCCCGCACATCGTCCGTTACCATGACATCGTGTCACGCAGAGACATGGAGAAGGTGAAGGAGCTGGCCAAACCCAGGGTGAGAAGATGGCGGACGGCGCGGTTCTGATTAGGAGCGTAGAACAGAACCGGCTCTGGAGGCGGGTCAGGAGCGCTGCATTGTGGGAAGAGAATGGCTTTATTTATCCATGCAATCTGAAAAGTGCGGCAGGCTTCGCTCAGACTCTGGGTTGAACTCAGGTCTGGACTTTGACTAGGCCGTTTCATTATAGCTCTCCTTTATGGCAGCCAGGCTGCAGAGCTCTTCCAGGTTCCTCCTCCAGCCAGACAGGTTCTCCTCAGAGTCGGAGCAGCATCATCTTTAGCCACTGTTGTCATGACGACCAGAGATGGGGCTGTATTAACGCTGTAACTTTGGGCTTCACAGCTCCATCGAGCCACCATCTCCAACCCGGTCACCGGCGTCCTGGAGACGGCCCACTACCGCATCAGTAAGAGGTAAGAGATGGACCTCCTGTCTCCGTCTGTCTCCGTCTGTCTCTGTGGTGCCCCCTGGTGGATGGATCAGCTTAGAGGAGCCAGGAGTTCCTGCCCGTCAGACGGGCAAACTGTCCGCAGCTCCTCAGAGCCTCTAAGAGGGGAGAAGCTGCTGGTTCTGATCGGATCAGAACCACAGATCAGGAGGAGCTGAGGACCTTCAGCCTCCTGGATCCTCCAGAGACCATCTGGATCCAGACTGCAGTCGACCTCCTCCATTTGCACCTGAGCAGCCGGAGCATCATGACAGACCTGATGCCGCCGCCGCTCATCCTGTGATGCCTGACTGACGTCTCTGTGTCCGTCCATCAGCGCCTGGCTGGGAGCCTTCGAGCATCCTGTGGTGGAGAAGATCAACCAGCGGATCGAGGCCGTCACGGGGCTGGACGTCAGCACGGCGGAGGACCTGCAGGTGACCTCTGACCTCTGGCCTTGCTGCGTTTCATACAGACGCTTGTTTGGGGGATTAACGGGGACTGCTTGTCTCCTGCAGGTGGCGAACTACGGCGTAGGAGGACAGTATGAGCCTCACTTTGACTTTGGACGGGTAAACATGATTAATAAAGATTAATCCGACTTTAAGCCAGAGTGGAAAACTGTCAAAGTACAAAAAATATGTCTTATTATTCTTTATCTTATTATTATTTTTAATTTCTTCCTCTACTTAATAATAATAATAATATTTCTATTATTCTGAATAATTGTTTGGAGAGCAGTGGTCCGTATTTATCTGATGAATAAATTCTTTATATAATGTACATTTTATTTATCTTTTTTTGTTTATTTTTATAAATAGATAATTAAATTTAAATAATTTATATTTAAATATAATTATTGTAATTATTGATTATTGTTTCGTTTGTTTTTTTTTTTTATCCAAATAATGTTTATTATCATAATAATTACATGTTATAGTTAAGAAGGATTTCAATGATAATCCCATAAATTATTAGGAATATTAATGAATTAGGTTTTAGACAATAAACCCAGAATAAATCATTGTTATCTGGGATTATTGGATCAGACGTTCCCTGCAGAAGAATCCCGGTTCTGATGGAGAACCGCTGGGAACAGATCGGATCTACCTTCACACATCTCAGCTGAAGGTTCTTTAGAAAACCGGATCTGTGCTCCACAGATTCCTGCAGGTTCTGGGTCATCATTGGGAAGAGGAACGGAATAATTCCAGAAATCCATCCATGTAAACGTTTGTGTTTTGCAGAAAGATGAGCCGGATGCGTTTGAGGAGCTGGGAACCGGGAACCGGATCGCCACCTGGCTGCTCTACGTCAGTTCCCTCCTCAGCATCACTTCCTGGTTTATGTTTCCTTTCTTGCTCATCAGCTGATCGTCTCCTCCTTCCTGCTGCAGATGAGCGACGTACAGGCAGGGGGCGCCACCGTCTTCACGGACATTGGTGCAGCTGTCCAACCAAAAGAGGTGAGCTTCTGCGCCACCTGCTGGTGATGCAATGTAATGGATCCTGATCCGTCCAGGAAGCACGAATCCTGCACTGCTGCAAATACATATAGATCCAAGTCTCCATAAATAATGTAATGATGGTACTAAAATCACTTATTTCTGTCCTTAACTCACTAAAGTATGCTAACACACATCTTTAAAAAATGTTTTATGACTTTAGTGAGGCAATTTTGATGCTTTTTAGATTTTCTCCATTTAACAGCTTCTCTGACGTCATCATGGAACATCAGAGCAGTCCGGCTAAATCTGTTTTTCTGCATTTTAATTGTTTCTTTCTTTAGATTACGCACTATATACCATAACGTTAACACGAAAGGAAAAGATAAAACTCAAAAAGAGTAGATTTATGTTTAAATCCAAAGTGGAAAAAGTTAGCTCCTGGAATTAGCGTAGCATCCCATCTGCTGTACAGATCAGGAACAGATGGATAAAACGGAAAGGATTTAAAGTCATAGGGAAATCATATTTAAATGTCAAACCATTCTGGCTTAAACATCTTTATCAGACCATATTGTTCCAAAATTTAGAAAATTTCTATTTAAAAAAAATCTTGTCTTAAAATCTGTGTTTTTTTCCGTTATCTTCTGCAGGCCAGTTAGTTCTACGTCAGCCTGAACACCTAAATTCATCCAATCATATATCAACGGTCATCTGTCAATCAAATGTTTTCGGTCATAGCATCTTGATTCATGTGTCGCAGCTAATATACGCAACGGTTGAAACCAGAATCCTTTCCTTTCCCATTGAGTTGCGTCCCAGTGTTCACGGGGATGGACGTCTGTGTCTTCGGCAGGCGTAGAGCTAACAGAACTGGCAGCGTTGCGAGGCAAGGGCTCAAACATGTACGGCTGGAAGCCTTCTACACCAAACCAAGCTTCTGCCGCCCTGGCGTCCTCTTCCACAACATCTTCGTCCCCGCTTTCCTCCTCTAAATAAAAAATGGATGACGGAGGAGACTCATCCACGACCTCCGACACTAAACTCTCCTCCTCTTGCATGTTTCCTCTGTCCATAGCGTTCCTTGACAGCGTCGTTTCTAAGTCACCAATTTAGTGCTACTTGGTCCCAATGGAATTTCCCATTGGGAACCTGCTAGCACTAAGATGCTAACTGGTTAGCAAGATGCTTCCCACAAACCGGCCACAACCAAACATGTTTGCGAACCTTCCGCCACAACAATCCCGCCCCCTTGATAATCGACCAATCACATTCACTTTATTCACTCAAGTAAAGTCGGGCACCACTGGGAGAATTCTGAAATGCAACGTTTGGAACAGCTGCTTACCTACGACTTAAAAATACATTATTAACCTTTTAGACATTATAGTTTAGTACACTTAGTATTTCTGGGGAGGGAAAAATGTTATTTAGGTCTAAAATTGCGGGTGACCTGGATGAATCGTGCTTCCAGGTCGGATCAGGTAGTGACGATGGAAGGAAGGAGCATTGGTTTCCTGTGCAGGAAGGGAAGCTAATCCTGTGTGACCTTTGACCCTGTGGCTGCAGGGCTCAGCAGTGTTCTGGTTTAACCTGCATCCCAGTGGAGAGGGCGACTATCGGACCCGACACGCTGCCTGCCCGGTGCTGCTGGGAAACAAATGGGGTGAGAAACTGTTGGGGCGTCCTCCATCATGACTGGGAGCAGAAACACTCTGCTGTTGTCGGGCTCCTGCAGGTTGGAAAAACCTGGAAGTTTCTGTTCCGAGGAGGCCAGCAGCTAGCAGGAGTCGGGTGTTTCTGCTCCATCTCTCCGAACCTTTGATTCTGTCTGAATAAACTCCCACAAACTCTCTCCTTTAGTTTCCAACAAATGGATCCATGAACGGGGCCAGGAGTTCAGGAGGCGCTGCGGCCTTCGCTGGATCGACTGACACTCCATCCTCTCAAACGTTCTCCTCATCTGAGCTGAGAGCTCATCTGTGTGTGTGTGTGTGTGTGTGTGTGTGTGTGTGTGTGTGTGTGTCAGAACTTCCTGCCTCAGAGCAGCTAAAACATCAGCTGGGGATTGAAATTCCCATGATGCAAAGTGCCAATTAGATTAAGCTCCACCCACTCCTCTGCAAAGATGTTTACACTCCAGAACGAATCTACAAACTACTGATTAGACTCGCAGGAGGAGGCCGTTAGCAGCCGGATCGATCTGGATTTTAACAGATTAGATGATTTTCGATAAGATTAAAAATGAGGAAACGTCCTTTGGATGCTGGGGGGTGACCAGCTGCCCCTCCCCCTAATCATGGTGGCAGAGATGCAAACAGGAAGGGGACGTCTCACTCTACCAACTCCAGGTTCATCAATATATCAGTGATCCTGTGCTTCGGCTCAGACCGCCTCTGGTTCTGCTGCCGATTAGAATCGGGTCGATAAGTTGGAATCAGTTTCAGGAAACATCAGGATCATTTAGAGCCATTCTGTTTGTTTGGTTGTTTTTTTGGGTTAATTCTTTGGTTTTAACTCAGTTCTTATTGAAGCTGCAGGGAGAACAAAGAGGTTCTGCAGAACTGGTCTGGTCCGTCTCAGAAACTGTTTAATCACGGCGTTCACATTCTAGATCTGCAACTCTTATTCTTTTGAAACAATAGAGGTCAAAGCTGCACTTTATTAAAGGAAAAGTTCGGTCAGCGAGGAATAATCAATGGATCATTATTTATACCTAAAACTAATACGTTCGCAGAGATTTAATTGTTTTAGCGCTAACCCGTAAAAAAAATTAAAATAATTTTTATTGA